CGTGAACGGCAGGATTCGAACCTGCGCGGGCAAAGCCCACATGATTTCTAGTCATGCCCGATAACCACTCCGGCACGTCCACTGTTTTGGGCTTACTACTATCAAATTCATTAATATACTCTGGTTTCAGAAAACGGTAACCGGAACGAGAAAAAAGCGATAGGGAAAGATACCGGTTTGGTTTCATGTTCCATTTTTTCAAACCGAAAACACGACTCGATTAGGTCTGAGCTTTAATTTTTAAAACTTTTTTTCTTCCTCTGTTCAGTTCTAACGTTTTTTTGTTAATTTTGTTTTTTTTTCATATAAATTCTCATGAACGGTTTGCTTTTGGTTGGTCAATGAACTGTGGGAATTATAAAAAAAATATTGCAATTTATGAACAGCAGAGTGAGCCGAGAGGCAATTTGTAGAGGGCAAATAAGTTGTTGAAAATGCAGATTACAAAAAAAAAAACTGAGAGATTATAGAAAGTGTGAGATCTTGCAGAGGTAATATGGGTGTATACAAAAACATGGTAGCGTCATTGTGGTTTGTCTCAATCAGTGATATAATTAAAGAAGAGAAGATTCAGTAATGACACTTTTCTTTATTCAATAAAGGAATAAACATAACATGAAGAATATTAGAACAAAGGTTGAGCCGAAAAAAGAAGAAGAAAAACAACATGATCAATCCATCATTTTTATTCGTTGTAGATGCGCCAGATTATTCCAACAATAACCCCAAGGATTGAAACGATAATCCTTAAAGTGAGGCTAATGTCTTCGGGACAAGAGTTAATCAATACAATGGGAGGCCAAAAGACAAGGATCACGGCATATTGTAGATCAGTACTAGAAAGCGCACATCGAATGGAAATGAAAGCAAGGAAGACCATACATAACCTGCAAAAAAAAGAAAGCATGATGTTGAAATATTATTAGAGTTGGTGCTTTCTGTTTTTAGGACATAAATAAATACGTAATTAAGTTTAGTAAGATGCGCACCAGAAGAGTTGAGTAGTATTATCTAGAGATGATGAGTCGTTGAAGATAAAAAACCATAGAAAAAATAATGCAACCCAACCCAAGAAGAAATATTCAAACACCCACTTCAAAAAGTCCACCACCTCGTCAATAGTGTTGCAAACCACTGAGCTTACACATCGGTTATAATGGCAAAAACGCCAACACAGAATAGGGAGTGTGGCAATACAGAGACAAGTATAACCTACGATCCATGGATACAATGTTGCTTCTCCATGTTCAGCTTCTGCTCGAGTCACAACTACTCTGGCTACAGCAATCTGGACCAAAGTCAGACAAAACTCGATCAAATTCCAAACATTCTCGAATCTGCATGGATCTTTCCATTGAACACTCCATTGAACACCTTTAGCCTCATGTGGTGTTTGCTCATAAGTTGATGGAGAATCGGCATCGGCTGTAATGTGGACGATATGCTCATCATCTGATGAAGAATCACCATTGGTTAATGTAGTGTCGACTATGTGCTCACTCTTGCTCAACAAAGGGCCCTCCATCTATAACTTTTGCTTTCTCTGATTTCGTCCGTAGTGTCCAATGTCCATTAACACAAAGCATGTATATATACATGTCCGATTCGTTGGTGCTCTACTTTTCACTTTTATCAAGAGGAAAAAAATTATCACTTTAAGACCAATTCTAACGTCAATTGTATCAATGAAATAATTATTAAATCATCCGGTCCTAAATTATAGTCTTTCCAATGAAATAATAATTAATAAGACTTGGAATTGGTGCTAAACTATTTAACGACCAAATCTACAGGCTGTGAACGGTATAATTATAGAGTAAAATGGTGGAAAAATGGGTCCCACAGAATTAGAATAAAAGTTTTATCTTTATCAAGCATAATTTGTTTTTTTCCAGCGATAATCTTACCACTGCATATAAGTGGAGGGAACATTTACTCCACTTTTATTACGCTATTAGTGTATAACATTCACACCCATAGTCTTTTGCAATGCATGTAATAAGTTCAATTATTGGTGATATCTTCTACAATGAACACAAAGCATATCTACCTCTGAATTGGTGCTAAACTATTTAAAGACCAAATCTATAGTCTTTTACAATGCATGT